CATTTCCCCACAGGAAATCGAGGTGCGCGAAAGTGTCGATTTGTATCAAAGATTTTTTACCATTGGGTAATGTTTCATACAACTCCTGAATGTCCTGTAAAATAATTGACAAGAAAGAAAATATTAAAAAATTCAAGATCAACTGAAAGTTCGTTATATCAACGTTATACAAACCTGAAGAGTGATAACTACATCATTGGTGCCGTAATACAAATTCACTGGTACCGAGACACTGCCGAGATTATAATCAGGAGGTTGTTCCTGGCCATATTTTTTCATGTTACCAGCAACGCCATAGTGAAATTTGCGAAACTTGCCTGTGAAAGAAGAGAACGCAACGTGAGAGAAATTTTATAAAATTCTATTCACCTTTATGTTTGATTATTAAATATGATTATTAACCTGATTGAATCGATTGTCCATAATGTGCAAATTGTCTAATAGATGCGTCAGCAGAATCGTATTGCGAAACAAGAAGCAACGCATTCTATGAATTCAAATCAAGTTCAGTTAATTAGTACATGTAAATATTAATTGATAATGCACTATTATTTGCCTCTGCTTACCTTATTCAAATTTTCGTCGTAGCCAAAAGCTAGGTCAAAGATGCCTTTACACACTGGCAGCAGAAGTGATTGCTGAGAGCATATTATTTTCTCAAGCGTACGTAGAAAGTAATAGGCTTAAACTGGTACATGCCCAAAAAATTCAATATCAACTGTAAAGAGATTAAAAGCAAAAATATTCGTTGCGGTTTCTGATATTAAAATTAATAATTTTACTAGTTATTTAACTAGTTGTTTTGGAAATTAATAATATCATAAAATTGAAAATTTTCCCAATTAACAATAAAACTAATACTTACAATGAAAAATACTTTAACAATAATTAGTAATATTAGTAATATTAAAACTATATTTTGCCGTCATCATACGTTGCCATCGGCTACAAGGCACAGCATCCGCAAAAGAGGAATTCCTGTTCGAGACATGAAAACTGCTGGGGCTAAAGCAGAAAGAGCGATAACTTTCTCTTGACGTTGATACTCTGGTCGTTCGCTAGCCATCACGAAGAACGTACCACCCTGGCTA